GAAAACCTAGTTTAAGGACTAATAAAAATAAAAGGACGATCTGGCTGGTAGATCATGTGAACTTAGGGAACTGCAGACCTAGAAAACATAGGTCCTACACCGTGGGACCAGGGACCCAGGACGTCATATGCTGGACTTAATGAAGCATGAGCTATCTCACAAGTTCAGTGACATACAGAGGCTTGCAGCCTTCTGTTGATCTCCGCAGAATGATAACTCTGGCCTTAAAAGATATGACAGATCCTAAGGTGTCTAAGAACCTTCAGGATAGCGGAGGGAGATAAAAAAAAAAAAAAATATTGTATATACATACATATATATATACAAATCTTTTTTTTTCTTTGTATTACAAAATATAAATAAAATATTTTTCTTTTTTTTTACAGGTTGTTTACTCTGTTGCAACTAAATATAAGTACAAAATGAAGCTATACTGTTGTATTTAAACTAGAAATAATTTCTTATACAGAGAATATATCTAACTACTATACTTCTTTATACTTCAAAGTTAACTAAAAATGAGTATAAGAGTAGTAAAAACAGAAAAAGATGCTTGAAACTATAAAGAACAATAAAGATTTAAATAGTAACCAAATTCAAGTTCTTAAAGATCATAATAGAAAAGTAATACATCTAATATTAGATGAAGAGTTGTTAGAGTTTGTTAAAAAAAAGAGAAAAAAAAAAGCTACAATTACAATATCTATGCTTGTAAAGAAAGCTAAAAGCCTAGGTAAAATTTTAAATATAAGAGATATAAAATTCTTGCGTAGATAGATTAAGTATTTTAAACAGTATTATAACTTAGTAAAATAAGCTAGAATATAAGTAGCTTAAAAGATTCCTAAAGATAAACTCTTAGTTATTAAAAACTTTCTTAAAATTTCTCATGAAAAAATATTTAATATTAAAAAAAAATTTATTTTATCTTTTAATAAGACATCAATATACTTCAATATGCTTCTGAGTTCAATTATTAATTTTAAAGATGTTTAAGAAGTATTATCAAAAACTACAGGATATGATAAAGTGTAGTTTACAGTAATTTTAGGCTATATAGCTGCAGAAGAGAAACTTCCTCCAACTATAATTTTTAAACTAAAAAAAAAACCAAAAGATAAATTTCCAAGAGATATTGTAATAGCAGAAGCATCTTCTGCAAATATGACTAGAGATTTAATGATCTCTACTTATATTCTACAAGTTATTCAGATAAGACTAAATAGATTTTTTAAAAGTAAAGAAGTAATTTTTGTTGATATGTATCATAGTCATATTAATGATAATATCATTAAAGTATTAAAAGCAGAAGGTTTGAATGTTTTAGAAATTTTGGTGGAACTACAAGTGTTTTATAGCCTCCAGATATCTTAGTTAACAAGCTTTTTAAGAATAGAATGAGAAAAAAATAGGATGAATGAATAGATAAAGGAAAAAAACAATATACTAAATAAGGTAATCTAAAAAAAGCACTCTATGAATAGGTTTGTAAATAGGTTTCAGAAACTTGAAAAGTGATTAGTTTGAATATTTTGGTCAAATCATTTGAAGTAGCAAAGCTTACATTAAACTCTGATAGAAGTGAAGACAGTAAAATATCTAATTGTCTTAAGGCTATTATTGAAGACTGTCTAGATGAATTGCTAAATGAAGAAAGTATGCTATCAGAAAATGAATCAGATCTGAGTAATTGTAGTTTACTATATGATGATAATGAGTTAAATAATACTAAATCAGATAATGATGATAAAAATATCATAGATAATAATAGTATTGTTTTTGATTATAACTATGAATCGATTTTTGATAATAACTATAAATTGATTTTTGATAATAATAAATTAGTTAAGATAATAGAAATAGATTAATAATAGAAATTAACTAATGAAAATAATAAATATATATTTAGAGAAGAATTTATACTTGACCTTTATTTAAAAAAAAATAGCTATTTTTTTCCTAAAAAGAAAAAAGTATTAGTGTTTTTTTTTTTATCTCATAATAGAATTAATGCTAGTATTCAGTTACTAAATTTATATTAATTGTAGAGGAATATTTATTCTATATAAAATTTCAAAATTTAATTAATGAACAACTATTTAAATAAATAAAATTTTCTATTACTACAGTAGTAAATAATCAATATAAATTATGGATTATTGTAAATTAATAAATACTGTAGTCATTTTATTTCAGAAAATCATTAGTTATATAGTTGTGTATTTGTATGTTATCTAAATCTAGAAATAACTTATTTTTCTGATTAATCTAAAAATAGTTCTAATTTTTAATTTTTCTATATACTTGAATTAGAAGATTTGAAGATGCATTTATATGTTTAACTAAATTATTAGAAATAGAGCTAAATAATATATTCATGCTAAATAATCATGAAGTATAAATGCTAAGTTAATAACTTTATGCTAAATGATCAATTTTTTAACATTGATAAGAATTGAAAAAAGAACTGGTATCAAATTAATTAAATATGTTTGAATTAACCTCTCTAAATAATTTTCAAAGATCACAAAGTGATGAAAAAAATTTTTTTGTTTCACATTATATTTTAAAATGATTTGTTATAAGTCTGATTATTATAAAAACTATATTCGTAACCTAATTGAACTCAATATTACATCCAAAATGACTTCCTCTTCTTTCTGTATAAGAAGATTACTATTTGGACGAGCAATCAAAAATTATCTTTATTTGTTTCCTATATCAAAAAATAAGAAGACAGTAAAATATAAACTTGTAGTAATTGAACATAGAAGTTGTAATATATTATAAATATCATTATTTATTTTATATTTATACATTTTAAGTAATCACAGCATTTTAATAGTTTCTCCTCTTGTGCCTTTATGATCAAAAAATAGTGAGTTTTTTTTTTTTTTTTTTAAGGGTAGGTTAATAAAAATGGATCAATAGTTAAAAACAATGTTTTTGCCATGATTACTACTATAAAATAGAATTTAAAATTAGAAGCCCAGTTATTAATTCTGAAGCCTCCATTATATCTACTTTCAATTTGAGATTCGAATATATTTATTCACGATTTAAACTAAGTATAACAACTATTACATAACATATAAAATGTGAGTTTCTAAATACACTTCTTTTTTGAGCAACTACTTATTTCTGAAGTCCTTTATACGATGGTCAAATTGGTTATAAAGAATCGATCAAATACCCCGAATAGGATTTATTATTTGTACATATTTTTTTTATTTTTTTTATTGATATATATTTATTTGTATATTAATTAATATGAAATAATTATCTAAAAGCGATTAGTTATGGTCAGCCTGGTAGGATCAACATTTATGCGAGGAGTTTAAAGAACCTATTGAATTTAATAATATATTACTCATGTATTTAAGGTTCAAAAAACCAGATTTGTAAATAGGATGCGCGTTATTTAGGGACGCGCATGGGCGTTATTTTGAAACCATATAAGTAATTTTCAGGAGGTCCAATTTTCTAAATAATGCCCATGCCCGTTATTTCGCGACAATACGGTATAACTTTTTTAAATACATGTTAGTTTGTACTTGAAAAAATGGACAAGTCAAAAAAGACTTTGGACACATTACTCTACAGTAGTATCATATAGCGAACATATTATCGAAATAAGATATATATTCAGGAAATCATTTGCAATTTATTTGTGAAAATAATTGTTTAGATTCACGGGATACACGAAATACGATGAATAAAAAAAAAAATACGAAAAATAAAAGTAAGAACGATAAAAGGAATGAAAAAAAACGATAAATAAAAATTTCAAAAAGAAAAATGCTCTCTTTCAAAAAAATATAGGAAATAATGATATAAATTAAATGTTAATAAAGATCAAGGATGTTACGCATATGATATACGAATATAAGAGGGTAACTATTCTATGAAAATTGATTTTCTATTTTAAGCCATTTTTTTATCTAGTCATAGCTTTTATCGTAGTCATAGCTTTTATCGTAGTCATAGCTCCTATCGTAGTCATAGCTCTTATCGTAGTCATCGCTCTTCTCGTAATAGTCACCGTAATCATTGTAATCATTGTAATCATTGTAATCATTATAGTAACCGTAACCACTTGAAACGGCGTCGCGTTTCACTTTATAGCTACCGTAATCTTTGTAATCTTTATAGTAATCATCATAATCTTTACTGTAATCATTATAATAACTGTAACTATCGTAACCACCTGAAACGGCGGCGCGTTTCACTTTATAGCTACCGTAATCTTTGTAAT